ACCTAGGAGCACTTTTGTGCATTTATTCCCAGTAATTAGTTTTTTTAAGAGGACAAAAACTCCAACACTGGGCAAGGCACTACTCTCAGACAATTCAGAAGTACTTTGCTGAGAAGCCAGCACAGGCACCGTGGAGCTGCATTATCTCACATCAGCTGACAGATCTTTCACCTCCAATAGCTTCTCCAGACGTAGGAGACAGGAGAACATCTAACCTATCTTGTCCTCCAAAAGCAGGTCTAACAGACCTTTACCACGTTGTTTTCTTCACTTGTTTTAAAAACCTCTCATGATGGAGACTCCAGCACTTCCCACACAACTTCACACTTGCTTTTGGAGTGGCCGTCAACTTTTTTTCTTATCTTCACAGTAGAGACAAGCTGTTAGCAGACATTTAGAGATCATTGAGGAGATTTTGCAGAACCACCTCTCCATCACTTCAAATAGGAACTTTCCAGATTAAATTGGTAGAGGATGTCTGACTGGCTCATGCCTTGCTAATTGGTCTGAGAAGCTGCTGAGCACTCACAAGTGGTCCCGGGGCCTTGGGGCTGCTCAGCACCACTGAAGGTTAGTTCCACTGCCTGGAATTTCCTATTTATATTCTGGAAATTCTTTTTTTTTTTGATGAGGAAATTGGATTATTTCTCAGAGAGCCTCACCCAGCTGATGAGATTAGAGTTGGGAGATGTTGGACCACCATGGCCAAGGCAGCCAGACTGCAAATACGCAAATGGCCTGATGGCACGAGAGGGTGGTAGCAGGAGGAGAAACAGCAGCACAGAGAGGTGCAGCAAGGAGACATAATCCTGCTGGGGGAGCTTGTGATCCCCTTTTGTCCCCTCTGACTGGAAGGAAGGGTGGAAAGAAAAGAGCCTGGGACCTCCAGTTTAATCCATACAACATAGATCTGGGAACAGGAGCGGTGACATGTGGAATAACCTGGCAATAGCTTTCCCTAACGAGTGTCTTGATCTGAATCAGACCTGGGAAAGGCAAATCCTTACACCAGCCACCACATAGCTGTCTTTTCTGAAGCAGTACTGGCACTCCAGTGCTTCCTCCTGAAGCCCAGTCCTCACCCTTGCCAGACTCCCATGGTTTTGTTCAGGTTGTAAAATATGTAATCAGTTCCACAATGCAACAATAACAAAACCTTTTTTGTCTGGAAGGATTAGTGACCAGAGGGTAAAAAATCAGTTGGTCAGGACTGGAGACAGGACTTCTCTCCAAAAGATCTTCTCCCTGTCTTCCCAGGGATCAACTTCTCTGTCCGCTGCACTCAGAGATGCCTGTAATGTGGGACTGGGCCATAGCCCTTATGGTGAAACCATCTGCTTGTAACATGTCAATCACAAAACACAAAAAAATTCATGATAGCAAATGCATAATAAAAATATTTTTCCTCTTATCTAAAAAGAAAGTGCATCCCAAAGTGATGTTGGTCTGCAGGACACAAACCCCAGCATTTTCATGCTCCATGTTTCACAATAATTCTGATGATCACCACTGTGTTTGTTTTCCCAAAGATGTTTTGAGAGATCACAGCATTGCAAAACAGAGCATCAACTCTAGGACGTGACCTTAGTGTGTACAGGAAGACACCTCTGGGACTGCCTGCCTGGCAGGGACAATCCCCTCTGCTCTGGAGGGGAGCACCTTCCCCTTGGCCTCTGGGAGAGACCTACCACCATGTCCAACCCCAAATTCCCCAGACCAAATGTCAAAATGGTCTTCCCTTCACATCCCTCAGAGGTCCTGTGGAAATACTGGCCCTTGAACGTCTCAATATCTGCAAGGAGAAGAGATGGGAGGAATGTCCAGGGCTCCAGGAGCTTTGAACTGCAATATTCAGCAAAACTTTGGGTACAACCTAAAATCCCAGGTTGCTGGGACCCAGACTTTGGTGGTCATGACATGGCTGATTGATTATATATAAATTGGGTCAGGAGACAGAGAAAAGGTGAGTGAAGCCAGGGCTGAGCTCAGGACCATTGCTTGCTTCAGGACCACTGCATTACAGAGTAGCCTTTGCCCAAGCTCAGACGGTTCACAAGGAACACATCCATCCTTGAAAAAGAAAGTAAAAAAAGATATTACTTTGGTGAAGTGAATGAATGCAGTAAATGTAAGTTTTCAGAAAAACATGTAAATGGCCTGTAAAAACTATTGAAACATTGTCTTGCTGCTGCTGAGACAGCAGAAATGAGAGCCTCTCTTTGCTAAGTATTGCAAAAGAGCCACCTAATTTTTTGGCAGATGTTTAAAGATGGCTAGAGAAGGCGAGTTGGGAACATGTGCTCCTCCCCAACAACTCACCTGCAAAACGCAGCGTCACATGGTGATGGGACCAGCTCAGAAACACACTACTCTCCACTGTCCTCCTCTACCCAGATGAAGACCCCAAGATCAGAAACCATCTCCCAGCACCCTGTTTCCCAGTGCCACACATAAGACTTGCACAGCACTGCTGCTGCAAGGTGGCAGGGATGTGCACAGAAAACAGCTTGGATTACAAACAGCCTTTTTGCAGTAAACCCAGGTGGTTCTGCCTGCCCTGCCCACCAGATGGGACTTTGCTGCCATCTCCAACAATGGGCTGAGGCAAGGGTTTAGCTGGTGAGAAAGCAGGGAAGCAGCTACAGTGGTCTCTTTTTGCAGCTGCCCTTCAAGACAGGTGGACTTTTCTGAAGAAGTGTATGAGCAGCATAGTAACCCATCTGGGGACCATGGGTCTGCATCGGCTGCCTCCTGCACTGGCTCCCAATAACAGCTGCACAGTCTCCAGGAATGTCGGTTCTGGGCTTTACCAATGAAACCAGAAACACAAGGACAAACAGCTGCAATATATTTTCAAAGGTCCAAGTCTCGTTTTGTGAGGTATGAGGGAGGAATCATCCAATAGTGGTGAATCACACATCTTGTACCATGTGGCATTTGTGTCAACAGCCAAATACAGCTGCTGTAGCCCTACTGTAGCCCCGTGGTGTTGGACACAGCATCAAGGTGTTGGAAGGGGACGGTGCTGGCTGAGCATTTGGGATGTTCCCCTGCTTTTTCCCAGACCGTGCAGGACAGTATCTTTCCAGATTCATAGTGAATCTCCATTTGCTTCCAGCCAAAGACAGGATGAAGGATTTGGGTTCAGCCCCTCCAGCAGGGCTTAGGCTGGGTCCCAGGCACCAGCAGCCCTGGCTGGCTGCGGACAGGCCAGATGCCTCCCTGGCTTCCCACCTTACAGCTGCTTGGCTGGTATTGTTCTGGAAATAACTTTCCCATCTAGTACATATGCAGCTTGTTAACCCTGTTGTTAGACATGTGCCTCTACCAGCACTCTATAAACAGCTTTTACCTTGGATGGACTCCAGTAGGACATATGGATGTGTATGGCAACCGACACCAACCGTCACAGCACCAAAAATAGCCAGTTCCTCCTTCCCATTAGTTTTGGTGGCAATAACTCACTGGCAGGTGGTTGAAAAGTCCTGGCATTTGTTTTTTTTATCCTGTAGTCTGAAAGGAAACCATAGCAAATGCATCAATACATGGATGCCCATATGATGCCAATGTGGAACAGGCAGAGCTGGGTGTTCCGTTGCGTTTCACATCCTCACTCGCCTTAAAATAGCCAAGCCAGCTGTGAGTAATGGGTCATCTCGGGACCTCCTGGCTTGACCCACTTGAATTGGTGGGAGATTTCTGGAAAACAAGCATTTAGCGACTCGCACAGGACAGAGATCCTGACCCTGGTAGCGTGGTTTGTGGGGAGCAGGCACTCCCTGGCAACAATGCTGTTGCCTCCTGTCATTTAAACAAGGTCTGGGCCATGGGAGGTAGGCTGGGCTGGCAAACTGGTCCTTGCTAGGTAGAACACTTGCTCCAGCAAAGCAAAAATAGTTGTTATTGTGTTTGGTCTACAGGTCACTGTGTAGGTTCACTTGATCTTCACCCAGCAGCTGGCCTTAGTGTTGGCATTCCCAAGGTCTCCAGCAGCAGTAATGTCATGAAATGCTGACTAGAATTCTGGCTTTTTGGATTCATCTGGTAATGGGTGGAAGTATCATGGGTGGTTACTGCTTCTGCACATGTAAAATAATTAACTGTTTGAATAGCAGAAGAAAGTGGAAGCTGGTGTAAAAGGAAACATGGGACACATCTCTGCACTGTAAGGGACTGCCCCCACTGTGCCCTCGTTTGGAGAGTTGCTGTTGGGTTTGGGGTTTTGGCCTTAGCGGGGTTTGCATACATGGGAACTGCTGCAGAACAGATGAACTGAAAAACAGCAGCCCTGGATAGCTTCCCTGTAATCCTCTGGCCAGCAGCAACACCCTGTAATCTGCCCAGGGAAAAGCAGCACAGCCAGCGTGCTCTCAGCAGCACGGGACACAAGTTATCACTTCACATCTGATAACAATGAGGTCATTCAACATTTTTCAGATGTAAGCCAGCCCCAGAGAGCCCTTATGACATCCATCTATTGACCACACCTGGGGAAGGGGGGGGGTCGGTCCTACCAGCACCCCACAAACCCTCTTCATTCATTCACTGACACCATCTCTGCTCAGTCTGTTGGCACTCCAACACCTCCCCAGTGCATCCTACAGCTCCCAGTACCGACAGCTGCCTGTTCTTACCGCTGCCCTTTCTTTCACCTGACATGGTATTTTGGCTTCCAAAAGGCCAGAGCTCCCAGCCCCCGTGGTGTTTGACATGGGTCCTCCCGGCACCCCACAAGTTGAGCATAAGGTAAGCAGCAACATCCCCCAACACTGTGGTCTGTGTCCTAGCTGCTTAACAAGGCTGCCATTGCCAGCTAGAAAGAAAATCACAACAATACACAATACACAACTTGTTAATTGCAAAAGAACTTAAAAAACTGGCCAGATGATGCCACTATATTTTTATTTGTGTTTGAGATAAACACACTTTTGAGTTGGACTGCAGTCATAGGAAGGGATTGCTCGGTACTCCTGCATCCTTCTCCATCCCCCTGGGATCCACTAGCAGTAAAGGGTGGCAAGGAGTAGGAGGAGCAGAAGGAAGAACACCCCCAGCACAGCCAGGCAGGGGAAGGTGGTGGGGGCGGCAGGGGTGACACGTGTCTGTGTGGCACGCAGTGTTCGGTCCCACTGGGTGAGAATGGCCTTTCTGGCCCCGCTCCACTTCCCTGAGCCCGTCAGCCGAAACTGGTATGGGCTGCAGGGACCGAAGAAGACCTCCAGGGCCAGCCGTGGGTCTGTCAGCAGGAGCTTCAGCACATTTGGCTTCACACCAATGGCCGAGGCCAGCTCATCCATGTAGGTGATATAATCTGTCTGCAGCGTGGTGCTGTTCCCATACCTTCAGAGGAGGAAAAGAAGGGCTGATTTAGGTTTTTCCTTTTTTGTTGGTTTTGTTTTGTTTTGTTTTATTAAGCACAGTGAAGGCAGAGTCTGTCCCCTGGTCTCCCCTGCCAAAGCTGGGGAGCAGAGCAGGCTGGGAGGCACAGCTTCAGGGGATGTGCATCATTGCTGCTCTAAGTGGAGGAATCTGGCTCACAAGAAAACATTGCATTTTGAAACTTCCTACAATGCAACAGTTTCTAGAAACAAAAGAAAACATTGCTTGGGCCAGGTTTAGCTTTCACTGGTTATATTAATATTTTTTAAAGTATTGCTTCACTATAATACCAGCTACACTCAGACGGGGGGAAAGCAAAGCACTTCTGTAGACTTTATGAAACAAAAAAGTGTCACTTTTAAGAGTAATGATGGAAATGTTCTGTATCTGCTGTGGCCTCACCCTGGTTGTCTGTGAACAAAAAAATGCCTTTTCAGCCTGATAATGCTCAGTGATGGCAAACAAGCATTATTCAAACAGGAAATCTTTCCATCACGAATTTTCCACCCAAACTTGCCCGATTCAGGCCTCCACAGTCCCTGTAACAAGCCCACTTGGGGCCGAGACAATGGCAGGGCTCTTCTGCCAGCACAGGGATTACCATGAGCTGCACTTACCACTTGAGCTTCTTCCCCATCTTCTCATCAATGTCATCCATCATCTCACTGACTGAGGGGAGCGCGCACTGTCCTGGAAAGAGCGGGAAGAGCATCAGCAAAGGGAAGCGATGCCTAGGAGATCCCTCCTGCAGCAGATGGTGTATTTCCAGGGATCAGCTGAGCCCTTGGGTGCCTCTCTTCCCTTTGGTGTCAAGAACCAGGCTTGGGGTCAAGCTTGGGTGTTGAGGATGTGACAATGCTGGCTCCCCTGTCCTTAAGGGTGCGTAGTGATGCCCAAAGGGCTCTTCAGGCCCACCACAAGGACTTCATTGATATCTGCAGTGGGCTGAAAAGTAACCTGCTCACATGGTGAAAAGAACCCCATTACATGGGGAACCCATCATTAGCATTTCTGGCCAAACTGCAGAACTCGTCACTCAGGCACTGCCCTGATTTTCAGTTTAAGCATGCCCATTGCTGCTGGGAAATGCTGCTTCCCATTAACAGAAAATAGACCTTCACCCAGCACACATCCATCCACCTACCCTGAAACACCTTGACTGCCCAGCGGCACTGGAGGTCCGCTGTTGGGATGATGGGTCCGAGGGACTGGACCAGGCCAATGACTGCCATAGTTGGCTTCTCAAGCAGAGGAGGGAGGATGCCTTTGTAGAGGGTGACCTGATTGTCCCTGCTTTTGATGATGGAATCATCCTCCATGAAAGGGTAGGAGTAACTGTAACCAGTTGCGAAGACTACCGCATCGACGTCGTCCTGCACAGTCCCATCTTGGAACAAGACGGATGTTTCTCTAAACTCCTTTACATTAGGCTTGATTACCACCACGCCGCAGGCAATGCGGCTTGGGAGGTCATCATTGAACACAGGTTCCTTGCGGGAAGTTCTGCAAGGGCAAAGGTGGTGGGGCTGTCACAGAGGTGGCTTCTGCTGCCGGCCCAGGATAGGCACCCCGTCCAGAACCAGCACCCCTGGCAGGTGTGGGGCTGGATGGCCCTGTGTGTACCTGTCCAGCGGCATAAGGCCAAAGTTCTCGTGCTTGAAGAAATGGTTCATGCCTCTCACGTACAGCCAGTCGCTGAGTGCCCTAGGGAGGATGTTCCCCAGCCAGGTCTGGAAACGAGTGATGACCAGCATGTCCCAGGGGTAGCCGTTGTCCCAGACGCGGCTCATCACCCAGGACCCACTTCGGGAGCTCAGGTAGACCTGGGGGAACACCCAGGTAGGGGTGAGCTGCCCCTGTGTGAGCTGCAAGCCCCTGGGGCTGTCTCATGGAGGCGGTGGCACATGCTCAAGCAGATGGGGACACACACCCCCCCACCCCCACCCACCCCGGCCCTTCCCCAGTGGCTCTGGTGTAGGTCCCCATACCTGTGACGCCACGGTGCTGAGCTCCACAGCAATGTCACAGCCAGAGTTGCCCAAGCCTATCACCAGCACCTTCTTCCCTCTGAACTTGTCCGGCTCCTTGTACTCTCGGCTGTGGAAGTAGCAGCCTTTAAACTTCTGTATTCCTGGGGAGAAGAACAGAAAGGGTCATAATTCACCCCAGGAATGAAAAGGAGAGGTTGTGCTGGCCTTGGGATCTCCCCTTCCTGCAGACACTGCTGGGGCATCTGTCTGGGCATTTTTCCCACAGTAGCAGGCATCTCCTGGGATGCTGCAAACCTATAGTTGGATGAGATCTGTCTCTAGCTTCATTCCGTATTTAAACAGAAAGAGCGTGCAAGCACAAGATACCTTGGCATGGTATTTCCGCACCCCAAAAGAGTACTACTGCAACCCCAACATTGCCCCAAGGTGCCTGGACAGCCACACTCCATCCCCTCGGTGTGGCTTTACACCCTTGTGGTGGTGAGCGACAGAGAAGCAGTTTTCATTTTTGAAAGAGAAGATGGCAAAGGACCCCAGGAGAGTTTTCCTGACCGGCCAGTGCCTTGAGCCCATGTCCTCCAAAGAGACCCCTAGCACCAAGTATTTCTTGCCAGAGAGAAAGTTTTTCCCAATAACGTGCCTGTACACAGAGAGGCAAAGGCTGTCAGGTAACGCGCATGAAGTTTTTACTAGAAATCATAGGAAAATGCCCAAAAAAAGTGTTTTACAAAATCCTTTTATGAAAAACCTATTAAAGGAAACAGCCTGAAATAACTTTTTTTTCTGGGAAAGATTAACATTGTATCTGCTTTGATATAGTTTGGATACTGAATCTTTTTTTCTTAAAAAAGTATTTCTTGAACAGACCCCCATCCCCAAAAATATTGCTCTCCTTTTAATGCTGAAAAGGTAATTTTTTCAGGGAAGAACATTGTGATGGAAGGTATTTGCCTAGCTACGTCCCAGTGGATGAATTCCACACACACTGCTTACCTGGGAAGTCAGCAAGGGGGAGGTTTGGGTAGACGTGATGCCCAGAGCAAACCATAACAGCATCAAAAACCGCCGTCTCTTCCTTCCCGTCTTTCTGAGTCACCACCTCCCATTGCCCCGTGACAGAAAAGTCGGGGCGTTTTTTAACCGTGGTGACCAGGGTCTAACAAAACCAAGAAAGAGATCAGTGGGTGTCCACGGAGCAGACCGAGAGGTTTAGGGAGTCTGTGGGATTCAGCTCCCAGGGAGCCCAGGGGATGTTTGCCCCTGTGATTTTGTGCTGGCAGCTCTGAGGAGTGCACAGAAAAAGGAGCTGATGGCACTTGTTTTAACAAAACCAGAAGGGTTTTTTTCCCCCCCAGAATATTTTCTCCCAGGATTTTCCCTGCGGCAGAGAGATCCGGGCACAGAGGCAATGCCCCTCCTGCCCAGGTCCCCCCCCCTGCTACTCAGTGCCCCTCTCTGCTCCAGGCTTCTTACCTTGAACCGTATATGCCGGAGCAGGTTGAAGTGCTCGGCGTACTTGCAGATGTAGTGCTGGAGCCTGGCGTTGTGCATGTAGTTGGGGTGGTCATCGGGGAAGGGGAAGTCAGAGTAACACATCATCTCTTTGCAGGAGTTGGTGAAGACGGTGCGGTAGATGCTGGCTCTGCCTTCCTCTGCCTGGTCCTGGAGGGAAAGGAGCATGGATGTGTTCCATTAGGGGGCTGTGACCCCTGCCTGTCCAGGAGCCCTGCACAAGCTCCTCCAAATACCATTACCCCCTGGCCTTCACCTCCAGGCTGGAGCCAGGGAAGAATGGCGAAGGTGTCAAGCGCAATAACCAAATAACCCCCTATGAGCACCAAAGTGTCCCAGCAGGACAGGAGGAGGGTTCGCATTGACCAAGGTACATGTAACCGGCTGCTAAATGCATCCACCAGGGAAAGTGGAAACCTGAGGGAAAGGGAGCACTGCGGAAGGACCATGCCAGAGCCTTTCCCCTGCTTATGCAGAAAGCCTCAAGGAGGTCAGGTGAGACACAGATACACTTGTGCACATGGACATCTGGAAAATATCACAGGAGACAAGTAACTTGGGACCTCCCAGTGCCCAGCTTCCTCCTGGTCTGTCTGTGAAGCTTCCAAAATCCCAGGGCATACCTGGACGTGACTTCTTTGTGCGCGCAGTCTTGGCAGCTGCACAGGCACAGGCAGAAACCTGTCTGGGTGCGTTTGCTATGGTGCAGCGGCTCAGCTGCCTGTGCTTTACGCAACTGTGGGGCAGCTCTGGCTAGGGACACAGATGGACACTTGTGCCTACCACTAGCAATGCCTGTGCCAGCTGGCTAGTGTCCCACAGACATCTACAAGATCAGGACATGCGAGATCTGCCAAAATCCCCAAGACCACTATGCATGCAGCAGAGCCTGAGCTGGCCTGGTCCAGTTCTGCCCAAAATGGCCAGCCTCACACATCACCCTGTTCCCCTCAGAGGGGCACCTGCTACGTCTGCTGACATGTGGCACTTAACAGCACAACACACAGGTAATGCATTTTCCTTTCCTGATGGCTTTGATGCCAGGACAGAGCTGGAAAAAATGCAATGAGGTTTCTGCACTGGAAAATTTATATTTGAGTTGGCCAAATGATTACCAACTTCCAATAAAATAAAAAATGCAAGCAGATAAGGAGCTGAAGTGGTTTTTACTTTTCCTCTTGACAGTGATATTCTGTTCTGAAATTCTCCATTATAGATATCAAAAAACTATTGCCAAACTTTCTGAAGGAATTTGCTGGAGCCCTCCCCAGAAAAGACAGAAAACATCTGGTCCATGTTTTTGGGATGAACCTAATGTTTCAGATCACCCAAAACAAGTTTTCTGCCCTCCCCCTTTGCCCCAGGGTTTAACTCATGTAGGCTCAATTCCTCTCCTTAATGGCACCCTAAGCTGCTCCTGCAACTGCAATCACACCCCAAACTGTCCCCTCAGCCCCAGCCTGTTGGCGGGGGGCACCTGGCACGAGATAGCTCTGGCTCGAACCCTCTAATTGTTTATTCAGAGAAGTTAGCAGCTCCCTCCATCATCAAAAGAGAGGAGTTGGCAGTTCAGAGGGGACTTGGCTCAGCAAGCCAAGGGACAGCCAGGCTGTCCCCAGGATAAGGGAGAGGACTCGGGGATCTGTACTGAACAGCAAAGCACTCCCACATGCAGACATAGGAGCAGAGCAAGCGGGTGCAGGCACACAGGGTGCAACTGGATGTAGCCTCCTAGCCCCAAGGACACAGGTTCACCCAGCCAGCTCTGAAACTAGGCAGCCAAAGCCACTCACCGTGTAGCGCCAGAGACCTCCAACGTCCTCGCTCTGCTCGAAGCAGGTGGGCTCCAGCCCCTCTTCCAGGCAGCACTTGGTGGCTGCCAGCCCACTGACGCCTGCACCCACCACTGCCACGCGCCGCACCATGCCGTCCTGCCTGCGGGGGAACGGGGCTGTGGTGGAGCAGAGACTGGCCAGG